ACTATGTCATTGCATCGAAGCCAATGCTCCATCAATGGGTTATCAGCTTCAGCAGGTTCACAGATGCTTCCATCAATGAAACCAAGTTTGTTTTTAATTCGAAGTGCCCTCTTCATCGACCTTGCCCAGGAGTGGTAGTTGCTGGAATCCAGCAACTGAGTGACTAGAAGAGCTCCAGAATTCTCATTTGATTCGATGAAATAGGGGCTGTTGGGGAGAGATGGATCATGAACGCTTAGATCAGGATTTGAGTTTTGAGGTGGAATTTGGTTTTGATTTGTATCAGTAACACTAGCTCCTTCATTATCAGCCATTGCTCTAATACCATAAAACAATTTGATTAAGAAATGTAACCAAGATTTGATTGAATGAGCAGAGAAAATCCGTCTGTTATATATGTATTTCTTATTGATATTTGCTNTGAAGAAATTGAATCAAGACTAATGAAGCTAAAACCAGCAGTGTACCAGCTTTTAGTTTTGCTTTCACAATCAAAATTTTATATATCACAAATGAAGTGAATTACAAGAGTATAAATAAAAGCATTTACAACAACTTTTGCTTATGTGTCAATAACAAGAATTTGTTACAACAAGAATGGAATCATTCTCAGCTGAGTGGGAACACCACCCCGATTCCAGTAGCTCCAGAAGCTTCCAGAATTCTTGAGCTCCACGATATGATTTCCAACAGTCTCAGACTCTCAAATGGTGTGGAGGATTATTTCAGCTACTCCCTTATCGGGTTGACACCTGAATATCAAAGAATTATTTCTGGATGGTGGCTGAGATATAACGGTTGAAAAGGGTTTAGTGAAATAGGTTAACTTTAAGTCTCATATTGAGTGGGAAATACGCCGATTATAACGGGACCAAGCATATTCACGTTCTATTCCGCGAGGTGATCAACGTGATATATTTATTTATTGAAAGTAACCCACTTGGAACTATAAACTAGTGAAGAATTTGATCTATTGAAAAATTCCCAAACACTTATCCCACGTAGGAAAGTTAGGAAACTTTGGTGTGATTTATATAGTGTAAGGTTGAGAATTGTGTTTGGCTCCAAGGGGTACCAATAGTCTTTAGAAGGGGAGAGACCTATATTTTATTGGATTCGGTCCAAACCCCACACGCATGAGGCACCATCGCTGTCCGTCCGGCACATGCTCGAGCCCGGTGCGGGTGCTTCCTTGTACTATATTATCTTTTTGGACATTGTAATTAATCAAATTCTTGGGTACTTAATGAAATCATTTTTTTGGCTTATTTTCGAGTAATCTTTTGGATGGTCTAAACAGTTGACTGTTAACCGACTGAACAATCGACTGTTAACCGTCTAAATAGTCGATTGTTAACCGAACCTTGCTGTCTATTCGGATTTTGTAGGGCTGTTTGAACAGTGGCGACTGTTCTGAAAAGGCTTGAAGTTTGTTGCCAGAAAAATTACACCATTTTCATTGCAATCATTCTCTGCTTTGAATCTGACTTCTCCATCTCATTCTGATATTGTTCTTAAAGTGAAAAACACTTCGTTGAAACTCATGCAGATTGCTGTGCTGCTTTCGTAGGAAACGAAATTCATTCTATCTTGGGAAACGATTGTTGAATACCTTTAGAACCTGTGAAGGCAGCAAATTCGTTTGAAGGAAATATCCTGAACTCGGTAGGCTGAAATTTATACTGTGATCCTGTTGATCAAACTAGTTACATCTTCAAGGTAACTCTATCGTAATATTCGAAGGAAACTTTTATATTCTAGAATAACAATCTTAAAAGGAATTTCTGTAAATTTATTATGGTTCTATTCCTTATTGTTTATCTTATAATTGTGTATCAGAAATGGCAACTTCTGGTATTACACTCCTGAATACGACTGGAGAAAAACNGTTCTATTCCTTATTGTTTATCTTCGAATTGTGTTTCAGAAATGGCAACTTCTGCTATTACACTCCTGAATACGACTGGAGAAAAACCAGAAAAATTTAATAGGTTAGATTTTAAGCATTGGGAAAATCGTCCAAACCGAACCAACCCGACTGGTTTGGGTCAGTTTTTTTGTTGTTTTTACACGGGTTAGGTGGGTTGGTTGCATATGCGGGTCGGGTCGGGTCGGGTTACTGGTTAATTCATGAAAACTGAATGAACCAGCCCACCCCGACCCGCGTACCTTAAAAAAAAGAAAAAGAAACAAATTAAAATGCCTAGAAAGTAGAAAGAACCTAAAAAGTATGAGTGGATATTGTAACTGCAATTACCTGGGTACATTTTAGAGGAGAAACTTATTGTCCTTCCCACAATAAATATAGTATAAGTTTTTCATGTTATGTTAAACGCACTTTGTTCTTTGTAAACTCAGCTAATGAGGATTGAATAAGATAATAGATAATTTTATTTATTTACTTACTATTTAATCTTGTCTATCCGAATTTAGTATAATAGAAAATTGGATGACTTTAAATTTTGTTAACAAATCGTCCCAAACTGACCAACCCAACCCGACCGATACTTGATTGGGTTGGGTTGGGTTGGGTTTCAACCTTTACATGGGTGCGTTGAGTTAAATTTTGATCAAACCGATCATGTTGGATTGGGTTTAGGTTGAACAAAAACCAACCCAACCCAACCCATGCCCACCCCTAATTTAAACCATAAGCCCACATTTAAACAAGGGTAATTATATTATTACCGCAACAAATTTTACTTACTACATCATATAATAACCACACCACAATTAAAACATGTTTATAACAAATACCCCATAACAAACTTACTATTATAGCCATAAACCAATAAAAACTAAAAATTAAAAAAAATACAATATTATTGATTTTTCTCATCTTTTCCGACCCATTCTACCGGACCAACTGCCATCACCCACTGGCTCAATAATATGCTCGTAAACAAGCTCAATATTTTCCATGAACATCAGGAAACGTTTGCAGAAAGAAGGACCATTTAGTAAAAGATCAAGAAAATAAAGAATTTTTTGCAATGAAAAGCTTTAACTTAGAGCGATGATGGTTGCGTGAGCACAAAGAGCCTGAAGAGCAGCATTAGTGAATCCGACAGTTTTCCTCATCACCCACTTGAGTACGGATCCAGTAATAGTCTTAGACCACTTTTGAGTGTGCAATGAAAGGATGGCTTCTCTGTTTTGAACTGAAGGCACTGGGAAATAAATTTCAGGGTCAAACCTCCCAAGATACCTTAAAGTAGGATCGACCATGTCAACATGATTTGTCATTCCTATTATAAAGACCGAACCTCGTGATTTTTAGTCATCCATTAGACCAAGCAAAGTGGAGACAATTAAACTATGTGTTCAATCTTGTTGCTTAGTGTTATTGAAAATTGTAAACCCTAATACTATTTCACCAAGAGCAATCAATTTATAGAAAGAAAAATAAACACGTAAGAACACACAAGATTTATACATGTACACCTCAATGTGAGACTACACCATCTTCTGCCACTGTAGTAATTCAATAAAAAAAAAGTGTTTACAAGATAAAATCGCATACCTATCTTCTCTAACCTCTCTTTCTTTCCTTTTTTATGATAATAATAAATCCTATAGACGACTCTTTATTTCTAAGATAAATTAGGACAAAATCGAATTTTACAAAGACTCTAATTCCTTAATAGAATATTAGAAGAATACAAATTCATAAACAGTCCCTATGAAATTTTGGTCTGTCGCCTACCACCCCCTCAAATGGGGCCTTCTACCCCTCCAACTCCCATGGCAACTAGCTCCGTGAAGTGACAATAATTAAGTTAGACAATAATTAAGCTTGTCAACTTAATAAGTGCAGGGGGTCAAACCATCTATCACATCAAAGAAAATGATGGAAGGCTGTGATTTTTTAGCAACTTGAAACAAAAGTCGTAGCTAGCGCTCAGCATCACCAACATATTTGCTTGAACAATCTTCACCTTTGCGAGTAAAATATGCTAAATGATTATACCTTCGAGCACAAAAATCAATCAATGCACGGGAAGCCATTGTTTTGCCAGTTCTAGGATATTTGTCGTTTGATTTCTTGTAAGTGTACTAGATCACGAACAAGTAATAAAGTGATGAATAAAGTAATGTTCGCACGAGGACTATGTAGTTAATCAAGGATAAAATAATCTTAACCTTAATCGAATAGCAAATTTTGTTTTATGAATTTATGCTAATCAACTAATTTACTAACTAATCTATTGTGCTATTTATGAAGTTTTTATAAATTATGTAAGATGATTGCTAAAACTTTGAATCCCATTATCAATCCATAATATATATGTATTCTTGTTGATCAATGTTCCTAAATTAATTAAATGCAACTCTCGATGTCAATTAAATCTATCCGCTCATATGACCTTTTTATATTTTTATAAAAGATGCGAACATGAAAACATGCATTCAAATGAGGATTGGATGCCAATATCATGATTCGTATTGCTTACTGTAGAGATCCATTTTGCCAGTTATTGTCTCATTCTTCTATTGGAGACTATGGCAGGACCTCATTCCAGTAGATGTGGTTATTTAGAGAAGGACTGGATGCCAGTTGGCCTCCCGCTACCAGCGTTGTTCCGAGACTGAATAGCATATCCGATCAGGTAGGGCAACAATGGGGCATTCTAGATAATATGTTCATTGTGGACACATTCAAACTATCATTCATCCACTAATATTTTGATTTCCATAGACAGAGATGAATGATGCGAAGTATATGGGGATTCACATGGTAGCGAGGCATATCATTTGGAAGGTTTATTGCATGATTCATTTTCTTCATATGGGAAGACTGTTTCGAGCTAGGCATGGCGGGGGGGATTTGACACTTGCACCCATCTTCGGCATTTCTTTGGACCCCCTTCATCATCTCTCTCGTTCTGGTTTGGTGGGGGGACTCCATTAGTTGGATCTATCTAGATCAATATTGATAGATGCGTCAAGGATGGTTTTGTAAGCGGGGAAGGCATCATCAGATCACACAGGACACTGTATCATGGATTTCTTAGCTTCGTATGGAACGTGCATGATATTAGAGGTAGAGTTTCGGACTATTCTTGATGGTATTTTACTAGTTAAAGGACTCGATTTTTCAGACATTTGTATTGATTCATATTTTGTACTGGCTATTCACTGCATCACGAGATAAATAGGACCAAGGGCTATTCAGGGTATACTCAGACAGAACACAAACATCTTATCATTTAACAGAGACACAGTTTCCTACATCTACAGAGAGATGAATCAAGCTGCAGATGCTCTTGCTGCAGAGGGTTGGGATTATCGATGATATCATATATATGGAGCAGCTGACTTACCACGACATATTAGGGCACTCGTACAGATTGATAAACATGGACTACCTAGCATTAAAGTATATTTTTTATTTTTTATTCTTATTTTTGTCTTTACTTGCATTAGTTCTTATTGTACGGGAAGTATTACCTCCTTTTTTATAGCTTTACATTTGTCATTTATCATTTATATTCATTGTAAGGGAAGTAGTACTTCTTCATTTATTGTTTTCATTATTTTCTCATGTAACAATAGTATTCCTCCTCTACAAGTGATGTCATATTAATAAAATCTCGGAGGTACCTCCCTCCTTTAACTAAAAAAAAAAAGAAAGCATTAAAAATGTTAGAACATCTATAAAAGTCATGCGAAGTATAACGGTATATCTCTATCCCTTATTGAAATTTACAATGATTGTTATTAGTGATATCTATTTTATTGTTTATCTCGAAATCAATAAAATTCACAAATCATTCCAATTAGTGGCTAGTTAAATGAAAAGCATTAAACACAATAACAAAAATCCAAGAAATAACACATAATGGACGTCAAAATATTTAATTTATATTAAAAACTTGATAATAAGGGGTTATCCACATCTTAGTAATTAGAAACTTAGCATAGCATTGCAACATTACAAGAAAACATGTTTAAGTGGAAAGACATAACCTGAATTATTGATAAATTGAGAAGATTAAGATGAAACTTGAATCTCTTCAATGGTTTCTTGATGAATCTCCACTTGTGCGTTCTTTTCTTTGAGCAAAAATAAATATTGAGTCTTCACTTAATTGAATTCTTGCAAGCGCCTTTCAATTCTTTCATAAAAATTATAAATTTTGCCTTCTTTTGATAATAATTAATGTATATGAGATGTCTCTTCTATTGGCTGCCCATGTTATGTATCTATAGAGGTAAAATTAGGTAAAAAAAAATCGTGCAAAATTGGTCCAAAAAGAAGGTTTCCTTGGTATAAGATACCAAAGGAAACATATTTTCTGGTCTTGAACTTGACTAGGTGGCTACCTAGTGTAAACCCGGGCAATTGCCTAGGCACCTAAGTTAGCCTCTGTTTTGAAACTTCAGGTCGGGCGGTCGCTTTGCTTTTATAACAGGGTTGTCACCCAGTTATATCTTCTTTCCAACTTTGCATTTTGGTCCCTCTTCTTCATTATCTCCTTGATTTTGATCATCTACTTTAAATTACTTCTATTTTAGTCCTTCAACTTCTATTTGCCTTCAATTGACCTCATAACATCTTCAGTCATTTTGTGGTTTGAATCAACTATTGAAATATTTCAATTTAGTCCCCATACTTATTTTTTTACCCCTTTTCGTTAATCTTCACTTCATTCTTTCCATTCCTATTCTTTCGATTTAGTTTCATCTAATAAAAAAAATATGCAATAAATTATACCATAATTTATCAAAAGAACGATTAAATATCTATTTTTTTGGCCTGGATTATCAATATTCACGTAAAAGAACACCTTGGGGGAGGTAAAAGCTCTAGATTGTTGAAATATTTAGGGAAAATATTTGGCTCATTTATGTAATTTTACTTATGGCTATTTAGGCAAATGAATAAAATTAATCAAAATTATGGTGTAACTGTTAAAATATGTGTTTGTCCCAGAGTTCATATAGAACATAAAGAAAACAATAAATCTCAAAAGTTCAACAGAACACAAAGGATTTTTCACCCCAAAGGGGTCCGAATAATCAGCCTTAGGCCTAATCACCCGTTGAGCATCCATACGAAGGGATTACGCTCTAGTTTACTAAAATCACCAAGAATTAGATTACAATGTATGAAGAAATCGGAGATTTCTTCAATTTGTTCTCACCTCAAATCTCTCAGAATATACATAATCTCACAAAGAATAGATCAAATGTCCTTATTGTCTTATCACTACGAAAATCTATAGAAATAACTCAAATTTACAAAATGTAGAAAGAAGGAGACAAACCCTAACCACTCAGAGAGAAAGTCTTACAAAACACTGAACAGTTCCACAAAAAAGTAAAGCAAGAAAGGAGTAGGGACATAAAATGGTTTCGATGTTTGGGAACGAGGCACATTGCTTCTCAGTGTCCTAACAAAAGGGTAATGATTCTATGGAATGACGGAGAGGTGGTGAGTGAGAATGAAGCAGAGTATGCCGATATGCCAGCGTTGGAGGAAGTTGATGGAGAGAGAAAAGTAGAATTTGCTGTTGGTGAGTTGCTGCTCACAATGAGAGCTCTTAACACTCAAGTCAAGGCGGATGATACTAAGCAACAACGAGAAAACATATTCCACACCCGGTGTCATGTCCACGATAAGATATGTAGTTTAATCATTGATGGTGGAAGTTGTACAAATGTAGCTAGCATAACCGTAGTTGAAAAATTGGGTTTAGTATTGTTTAAACACTCTAGGCCTTATAAATTACAATGGTTGAATGAGAATGTAGAGGTTAGAGTGAATAAATGGGTGATGATTGATTTCTTAGTTGGGAGTTATAGTGACAAAGTTGTATGTGATGTG